AATAAATTCCCGCGTCCCGAGCACAAGAGAAGCCTTTCCCAGAGGCGGCTCTTCCATACCCGCAAACAGAAGGAGAGCGCTGCGTTTTCTGGAGCAGAGGCCTCCGCTGGGGCAGCTTCTCTGGGCGGTTGCTCGGGAAATAGCAGCCTGGAAGATTTACTATCCCCCCCCACCGCCGCCCAAATTTCAAACCCACGGTAGCTTCTCCGTTGCCTGGGACTGCGGTTTTCGGACCAAGTACTCCCAGAGGAGAGCGCAAAGGACTCCGTCATCCTGTGAGCAGGTGCTTAGGGAAGTGTTTTGTATCACCCCCACCCCTGCCCGACCCCCTCCTGGCCCCCCGCCCTCGCCGGCGGCCGCCGATCCCCACTTCGTCCGAGGGATTTTGGGGGAGCCCTTTTAAAGCCCCTCTTTTGCACTGCGGTTTGATGTCCGGTAAGGAGGGAGGCGGTGGGGAGGCCGAGAACGCCCTGTTGGTTAGCGTCGCCGCTCCCCTTTTGAACGAAGCAAAGTGGAAGAAAAATTGCGGGGCACCCGCCCCACGAGGCGGTTGTCCCCCCCCCCCAAAAAAAAACAAAACCCGAGACCCCTCCGCCTTCCAATCCACGAGGAAAACCGAGGCGCGAATAAGAACCTGTGGCAAGAGGATGGACGCGCTGTTTCTGAAACAAGATTTCAGCTTGGATTTAAATTGCCTTTCGCAAAGTAAGGGAACAAATACAACCTATCGATTTCAGTGATGAATATTGGCACCAAATATAAAATAATAAGGACATAAAGATTCAAAAAAAAAAAAAAAACTTACAAGAAAAAGCAATGCTCCACGATTGATTTCAGGGTGTTGAGGAAAGAGCCACTTCCGGAAGTAACTTTGGCAAACCCCTCCAAGCAAGCTGAATCTTAGACTAAAATAAATGTGCTTCGAAATGCTCACACTCTGCATAGAATTGACACGCACATGAATTCAAGCTGGAAAGTGACTTGGGCTGACTCGCTGTTGATAGCAGATGAGGAAAAGTTACACAGCCTACAAACGCCGGATATAGAAGACCGGCAGCTCCTCGTATCATATGTAACAGTCAGGTAAAAAAATGAAAGAAAGAGCTTAAAAAAAATCAATCTTTTAAGGGGGGGGGGGGGAGAGAAATGTTTCAAAATTCAAAAGTTTTTGTAACGTGCTGAAATATTTCCCCGACTTTCACACTCTGTCTTTCAAGAGCCCGACTGTGGATATGGATTGGCCGTTTAGGTCAGTCGCCCTTGTCACCCCAGTTCACTTGCACCCAGAAACTGCAGAAAAAACAATAACTACCAACTTGTCTTCCATTGAGGACCTGTATCCTGCACGAGTCCAAAAGAGGGCTGTGAAAATATCTACAGACCCTTCACATCCTGGACATAAACTGTTTCAACTCCTTCCCTCAAAATGATGCTATAAAGCACCTCACACCCAGAACAACTGGACACAAGGACAGTTTCCCTCCCAAAACCATCATTCTGCTAAACATATAATTCCCCCAACACTGTCCAACTATTTACTAAGTCTGAATTACTATTATTCCTCTCTTCCTTCCTAGTACCTATCTCTTCCCACTTATGACTAGAACCATGTTGCTTGTATCTTTACAATTTATATTGTTTTATTTGTTCCCTAGTATGATTTGATTGCTTTTTTAGTAACCTATGATTATCACTAAGTGTTGTATCTTATGATTCTTGATTAATGTATTTTATTTTTTCTTTGTGTACATTGAGAGCTTATGCACCAAAGACAAATTCTTTGTGTGTCCAATCACACTTGGCTAATAAAGAATTCCATTCCATTCCATTCCATTCCATTCCATTCCATTCCATTCCATTCCATTCCATTCCATTCTATTCTATTCTATTCTATTCTATTCTATTCTATTCTATTCTATTCTTTATTCCATTCCATTCCATTCCATTCTATTCTATTTATTCCATTCTATTCCATTCCATTCCATTCCATTCCATTCTATTCTATTCTATTCTTTATTCCATTCTATTCCATTCCATTCCATTCCATTCTATTCTATTCTATTCTAT